ATTTATAAGTAAAAAGGCAAAACAAAATGCATCCATCGTCTAAGGAATTAAATGAAACACATTTTTGTATAAAAATTATTTTTCTATTATGATAAATAAAAGAAAGGCATTTGCCTTCAAATCTGAACCCTATTTATTACAAATGGAAGAAATTATTCAACAATGTTACTGAAGATCAACAGACAGTGAAGGTAACGTCTTGTAATAGTTGTTATGTTATGTAAGTACGAATATATAATACACGCACATCTACTGAATATATGTCTCAATTAAAGTCCAATTCTATAAATAATATACGATTTTGATACTTAAATAAAACACAACAAAATTATATTGATCCACGTAGTTTCAAACGCGTTTTAGGTTAAAAAAAAAAACCCCCTTTGGCCTATGACGAATGTAGTTATATTTAATTTATATGACTAAATATTTTTATGTGAAATATATTACTTTATGAATATCAATATTCTGRTATATTCAAGACCAATATTATATAATGTAATACGTATTCAACACAGTTCACAAAAAAATGTATTGCAATAACTTATTTTAACTATAACTGTTTATTTATATAATAAGGAGAATAATACACCTATAAAAAATAAAAAAGTACAAAGAATAACGTAAACATAAATAATTTACAAAAAAGTAAATTTCTGTACGCATTATTTAGAACAATAATGAATTCATAGAAAAAAATATATTTATAATATATAAAAAAAATTTAATTTAATGTAATTTTTTTATTAATACAATATAATCAGGACGAATTTATGTGATAGGTTTTCGCTAGTGATAGACGGATTTCATCGGCATTCTTGTTGTTGGTCTCTGGTACGAAAAACAATATGAATAGATATCCGAAAACCGATATGACGGTGTAGACAAGCCACAAGGCTACGGGAAACTCGTCGACCAGCATGACAAACGTCTTCATCACTACGAACGACAATATCCACGAGTACGAGACTATGTACGATTGGGCGCGATTCGAGTGATCGGCTCCTATCAGCTCGGTGGTTATGAACCACGGTATCGGTCCCAAACCGAGCCTGAAGAACGAGATGAACGTGCATACTATGATTATCGGTAGTATTTTCAACGAGTCCTCCAGCATGCCTGCAAATAGCGTCAAAACATTACAYMATTTTTTCATATTATTTCACGTCACCTATAAGTAAACCCAAGTCGACTTCCGTACCATTTGAAATGGTACACTATACATTATTACATCATAGATTATTATTAATATTAAATCTAGTTAACCTAGTTAGATTAAGTAAACGCATGTATGTAATAATTAATAAGTAACAGCATTTTTAATAGTAAGTATTAGTCAGTATAAGTTTTTAGCACATRTAGCGAAATAGAACTAGGTTGAACAATAATGCATATTATACAAGCAGTAGGTCTAGAAAAACGGGAGTCCTTCAGTGGTGACCGCTTGGTGTGCGGTCACTGTGACACTGTTGCACMAAATCGTTGGTAAAGTGTTACCTTTTAATTATTTTGCGTCGAATATTAGAGAGTAACTCTACGACGACCTAAGCGGATATTGTCATCGCGTCGGAGCAAGACATACAATACRTCATACGAGTAAATTATATACGCATAAAAAAGTATAGCACGCACCTTTGTTCAAGAAATAAAAGTACAGGGTCAACATTGCCAAGCACGCCACCACGACAAATGACGAGACGAGTAAAAGTATTCGGCGGCCCACCCGGTCGATGAGGAAAATGGTGATGCCCGAACCGGTCAGCTGGAAAATTCCGGTTATTATCGACGCTGTGTTCGGCGCCACCGATGATCCGGATATGGAGAAAAGTTTCGCAGTGTACTGTATGATGGCTCCGGCACCGGACAACCTCTGCACCGTGGCCAACGCCAACGACAGGACCACTGCTTTGATGAAAGCTCGCCTGAAACAACATTGTGATGTGATTATAATGTCAGTGTCGTGGTTGTCCGAGAAGAATAACCGATTTGACCGAATCGACCGTACTTTCTTCCTGAGGGTTGCAAATCCTTGTCGACGGGAAGCGCGTCGTCTTCGGTCTGYAATTTCGCGTACTCATCGAATGCCGCGGTAACTGTGGAGTCGTCTCCCTGCAGCCATCTGTATTAAGATAACACACATCGTATAAAAATTCTCTACGTTATCCTCGCATAATACATAATATATACAATATAGTATTATAGTACACTACCACACTGTCGACCATGTTTGACGGCGATATGAGACCTCCAAACGTGCATTCAAGTGGATATTGCCTACTCTGAACCCCTTAAAAACAATCTGTGAAATTCCGCGAAACACGCGATGCAYCTATATTGCATCCATCCGAGTGTGAATGCATTTACTCACGCTTAATATTTCTTAATACTTAAGTTAACTTCATAACTAGGCGTGGATGTATTCATAGCCCGGGTGTTGAATCACTAAAGACTTACAAAACTATCAACTGTAATAATTAAAACTCGTTATCAACTACACCTATGGTTGAACCATCATCAGAGGGCTGAGGGTGAGTTGCGGCCCGATAATATTTTAGGTATAGGTTAGTTGCGGCCCGACAATATTTTAGCGATAGGTGAGTTGCGGCCCAAGTAATTATCATTACATATGTACCTTACTTATATAATATTATATTATATTATATACCTATTACCTATGTACCGTATAAACGAATAACGATAAACGAAATGTTCAATACGTATGGGAAGTTATATTTTTGTATATAATATGATAAAGATAATATAGATCGTTTTATCGTATTATCTTTCATATATGACTTAAATTATGAATGCTTTGATTTTTTTTGAACATTATTATCATAATATATTACACCAATTATACTTTTATTTTTTTTTATTATTTATTATTTAATATAATGTCATAATATTAATAGGTATATTATATTATATTCTATAATTTTATGAATACTTTTATTTTCTTTACGACCAATATTAATATAAGTACGACAATTTATACTAGAAAAT